TTTTCATCGCGCTGTGATGACGTCAAATGCGCGCTTTCGTCGAGCGCGATTTTGTACTCCGCGGTTTTGTGGTGGAACCCAGGTACTTATGATATGTTAAAAATATTTCCTCAAATCAGTTACATGCTTCTGCTTTTTTATTCATGAATAAAATGTTCCTGACTGTTGATTAATGTTCTAAATCTGCATAAAATTAGATGCATAAAAAAGACAATACTTTAAAGTATAACCAAGCATAAGGATAGTGAAAAAGGGGCAAATCTCAGAGGTTCCTCAGGATAAGCCTTCAGCAAGCCTGGGAATCCTCTAGTAATAGGGAGCCTTGTCTTATGTGTAATAGCTACCCTCTTGTGGTCTTGTTTTATGTATTCTTCATTGTTTTTAATGGGTTTGTAAAATGTTTCAGTTCCTTGTTTACATGCATTGGGAGCACCCTGGAGTCGCTTCACGTGAGAAGGGTAGCTATATGAATTTGACAAAAATAAATAAATAAAACTGTTTATAACTCTGCTTTACAAAGGCAACTGTAAGTCTTAAGACCAATAAAATGAATAATTGCATTTAATAACAGCTTTATGAAACAAAGGTCTGTCCTTTATAGGACACTGTAAGTATAAAGTTCACAAATGCAGTGACTTGACAATATCCCTCTTTTGTAGTTTGGATTTTTTTTTGTAAAGTAAAAAATAATAGCCACTTAATTGACCACTACATTAGACTTTTTACTTGGGCTGGAATTAGCACACTTCCTACTGTGGGGGCCCTAGGCAAACATTTTAATCTCCTGCCAAACTATTGTTATGTGTTTCTGCTAAGAGGTAAAGACAGTAATCTGTGTATTGTAACATTGCCCATGGTATCACCTAGGGCAGGGGTGTAAAACTCGATTTCATTGAGGGCCGCATCAGGGTTCTGTTTGACCTCGGGGGCCGGGGTGGGCTTTGTTAGGGTGGGCATGGCCAGCTTGACGTCACTTATGTCGGGAGTGTCTGTGGTGGCCTAAGCGCTCTGCCAGGGAAAACGGGCTCCAGAGCTCCATTTTCAGCTGCAACGGCCTCCTGCCGCCCTCTGCCAATGAAAACAGAACTCAGGGGGGGGGGCTGCATGCGGCCTCCCTGAGCTCTGTTTTCACTGGCAGAGGGCAGCAGGAGGTCATTGCAGCTGAAAATGGAGCCTGGGAGGGCCACATGTGGCCCTCGCGAGCTCCATTTTTGCTGCCAGAGGCACTGTGGGCCAGTCTTTTGCTGTTTCTCAGGTGGTCCCACAGGCCAAATCTAAGCACCCCATGAGCCGGATCTGGCCCCCAGACGTTGAATTTGACATCCCTGACCTAAGGCATCTGGCATCCATAAATCCAAAGTTTACTTTACAATCTTCCTTCTGCAAGACCTAACTTGGAAAACATGTTAAAAACAGATAATTCAGATATACTTGGAAAGTATTATCATATCAGTTTCCTATGTTAAAAGACTCTTAAAAAGTGTGCTAATTTCTTACATATGATGAACAAGTTTGAAAAGTATTAATAATAAGAACACAAAAACTGTACTGGTTGGGCGATGACTGGGCCTACTCCAGCGCCTTATTTCTTACCAATCAGAAATGTTGGTAATGAACAAATAAAATAACATATAAAGGTAAAGTAAATGTAAAGGTTCCCCCGTACATGCATACTAGTCATTTCCGGCTTTAGGGGCGGTGCTCATATCTGTTTCTAAGCTGAAGAGCCAGCGCCGTCTGAAGACGTCTCCAGGGTCATGTGGCCAGCATGTCTAAATGCCAAAGGCTCATGGAGCGTTGTTACCTTCCCACCAACGTGATCCCTATATTTCTACTTGCATTTTTACATGCTTTCGAAATGCTAGGTTGGCAGAAGCTTGGGACAACTAATGGGAGCTCACTCCGTTACGCGGCACTAGGGATTCGCACCGCTGAACTGCCAACCTTCTGATCGACAAGCTCAGCATCTTAGCCACTGAGCCACTGCATCCCTAACGTATCAAGGTAGTAGCCCCTTAATACTGTTGCAACTACCATTTCTCGAATATAAAAAGATCATTAATCAGATTTCTTTGATTCTTTCTTTCAGTTGTTGTGAGCTGAATGATAATGTACAATACAGAGTGCAACTATTTCATTTCATTTTGGTCTAACATCCAGTAGTATGGAAGCCTACTGACTGGGTAATTTTTAATGTTTCCTTTCAGTAAATAAACATGTATAATAACAAACTGAAATCCTGTAGAGATCACTATGTTGACTGTACTTACCATTATCTTCTAGTCTTTGACTTAGGATCAAAATTGAGACTGGAAATTCCATTGCTAAGTGATACAGTTGTAAAACACAACAGCATGTGACTGCACCATTTAGTGATGGCAATACCAGCATTCCCCATTTCCCTATTAACTTAACTGCCTCTCCACAGCAGGGACCGAATCAAACAGGGTGTGTGGGAATCNCATCTATATATGAAATACCTTAAATAGGCAGGAATATTTAAATTCTCTTGTTTTCCAAAAATATCGTTGAGTTGGGGCTATCAGTGTCTACATGCTGTCAATGTAGTTAATGCATTGCAATAAATTAAATTTGCCTGATCTTAAAAAGTTTATAACCTTGAATACTTGGTGTCAATTATTGTAACGTTTAGCAGTTCATATTTTTACTATTGCCAGTTCAGTGTAGGATGGTTAACTATAGCCAGCACATGGCAAAAAATAGGAAAATATTTGGAGGGATAAATGATTATCTCTCAAACAGTTGTTTTATAAGTTGTTTAAAATATTTAGTTCCTCATTTGCAGATATTTACTTACACTTTCAATTTACGCATTTTAATTGCTTAAGTTAATTATAATGCATTAACAATATTAACAGCTAGGTGAACTTTCCATATGCTTTTTTCCCTTTGTGTTATATTGGGCCAATTATTTTACATAATTTTATAACAACTGGAAAAGAGTAGCCAAAAGGAAAGGAGGGGGAGAGAAATGGGTTGAAGGAATGAATGTAAGCAAAGTAAACATAGACCGGGAGTGTGAAACTCTCATCATCCTGGCATCGTCATGTGACATATCATGACTTTTCCCCCCTTCACTAAACCAGGCGTGTGGGCAGCGCGTGATGCATCCCGCCCGTGGGCCGCAAGTCGGGCACCCCTGACGTAGATCATATTAGTGACATTGTGCATAAGGTGGCTTTCCATCTGAATATTACCTAGCCTGTTCTGGCATACATTAATATTTTGTCCAATTTTAATTTTTCTGAATACTCAGGTAATCAGAGATGTGATTGGTGTACACATGGAAGAACTTACCACTCATTGGCAGGAGGAGAACAGAAATATCGGGGTTCATGAAGATGAAAAATCCACTTTTTCAGCAAAGTCTTCAGGAAGGTATGATTATCATTGACAAATCTTTGCTGTTTTCTAAGTTGGCAGTAACTTAAGACATTGTACTTTTGTTCCTCTGTTAATTCAAATGAAACTGGAATTACTGACTTGCAGATTAGGTCTGCAGATCATGGTATCATGCTATACCCAGTGTCCAATTCAGTTTATTTTCACTCTTTCCAATGCCTATTTCCTTTAGTGAAAGGTAGGGACAGAATCAAACAGGGTGTGTGGGAATCGGCAAGATAT